TCATAAAGTATTAATGCGTCTTCATGTGCGACTAAAACTCCGCCTGTCTGTCGTGCCGCTGCTGGGAAAACCCCCCCCCCATCGAAATCCCCACGCCCATCCGAGATTAACACAAGACCGGCAGTGTGGCGTTTTATTTTCTGCAAGTATGCAGTAATAATAAATAACGAAACCGGCTTGGTGGGGGGGGGGCGGTTAGGGCGGATTGCTGCCCGCAGTGAGACGCTCTTTGCGCCGGTGTCTGAGCGTTGCTGGGTGTCGCTCAGGACCCGGGAGAGTCGCCCTTTGTTTCCGCCCTATTCGCAAATGGCTCCGGGTTGCGCTGGACGGGCATGTCCATGGCCAGCATATAATTTAATGGAGGGCGGATGCATGGACACCTGCTTGGACTGTTACGCTATAGCTGCGGAAATAATAGAGATTGATGTTTTCCTCAAGCAGCACTGTGGGAAATCTAGTCAAATATGGAAATTTATGTAATACTTATTTAATACGGTCTGTGCCCCCTTTCATTCTCTCATCTTGTGTTAGCTGATAGGCTATGCATGCAAAAAATTGCACGTTTTGCGTTAACATTTAAGGTGTTTAAACTCAAGTATGTTATTTCGTAAGACACCTCAGAGCACTTGTATTACATAAATCATGATAACATAATAGAGAACATTATTTGCTTTTGAGTGAACATCGTAGGGCAAAATAGATTTGTAAGCAAATATATGTATTTATACACTGTGCACATGTTTTAAGCATAAATCAATCAAGTTGGATTATGTTTTTTTAATGAAAAAAAAATTCCTCCGGCGGGGAAAAAAGTCAGTTTAATAGGAAAGCAGAAATAAAAATATTTCATCAGGTTTTTAGGCGTGGCATCGTTTTTTCCCATCCACTCACAGCAGCTCGGTGAGGTTTTCATGTCATCAATTGAATAATCCCCTCCAGCTGTATCCTGCACGTTAGAGGTGCAGTGACAGCAGCTAAATAAATGGTAATTAAAAAACGCTCGCATTTTTCGCGGCGGGGCAGGGTGGGCTGTCGGGACACTGTCAAGAAAACTGAGTTTTGCTGGCGGGGGGGGTAACTGTATGCAGGGCAGATCCCCCCCTTTTCCGCGGTAATGCACACAAATGACTGCACCTTTTCCGCAGAGCTGCGCGAACGAGATTTAAGTCATTAGGGAAAATCGATTTTTTTCAAACGATTCATCCCAATGAGAATTTCCCGAACAAATAAAAGATAGTAAAATAAATAAATCAATCAATTGACGATGTCATCATAAGCGATAACAATTTCAGCATAACGATCTCTGGGCAAGTGTGAGAAGTGAGGAACTTATTTTGATTGGTAAGCTATGCAGTTTTGACATTTCCACAGAAAAAAAGTCTAATCTGTCTTTGAAGAGAAAGTAAATATTTTTGTTGCTAGGCAACGCGCTTGAAACCAAGTGGCTGGCTCGCATGCAGAGTGATTTTCTCCTTCCATCCGTCTCTCCGCGCCCAACTTACACATCTTGGCATCAGAACCGGTGTCCTCTGTAATGTTCTGTTGGCTGTATTTTTTGGCTGTTGTGCTTTCCTGCTAGCAACAACAAAAGTCTTCATTCATGTCGCCTTCCAGTCTATAAAAATGGTGCGTTGTATGACCGCATCCTAGTGCATGTCCTCGCTTACAAACCAAAGAATTAAAGGCGACCATTTCCCTCCCCACCAACAACCCCAAAACATGTTATATTATTCAGGGCTTGAAATCAACGTTAAATAAACTTAATTAAAGAAGTCCTGTAGTAGAACAATGACTGCCTTCCCCAGTTAGGGTTTGATAGCGTTTTAATGACCTTTGGTAAAAACAAGCAAATACCACTGAAGACAAATTTAAACTGTGGTTTTAAAATTAAAATGTGCATTTAATTTTTTTTTTCTGCAGTGGAATTGTATCCGGAAACGTGACAGAAGGAGTCATTAAATTAGAATGTACAATTTTTTTTTCCAAATCAGTTGCAAAATTTGTACATTGCAGGTTAAAATTAAAAGTGCAGCGTGCATTAATGGTTTTCTAATGCATGGTGCACAGTTCCCGTGGTAGGGCTGGCCTGCTGATATATCACACATTAAGCTGTTTTGAGCTTAATGGGCTTTGGGAACCATCTGCATGTGAAGTATGTTGTGCTTGGCTGAGGTCAGTACAACTGATCATGGATCATCTGTGGTTTAATGCCAGATGATCACTTAACCACATTTAAAGCTTCTAATAATCCCAGCGGAGCAGGAGTATTGGTCATGTCTGAATACACGTCTTTTATGCAAGCTGAGGGTGACCATGATTGTGAAACAACTTGATATCCTCTTATATTCATCCAGCAGTTTTTTGTCTCCATGGTCCTCTTCCACCAGATAAGAGCACAGGGTCAAAGGTCAGGTTCCGTGCTCGAAATGATTGGTTAGGCCTCCAGCAAGGCCCACCTTCTTTTCCCAGGAACTGTCCAATAGGTATCCTCGTTGAGGAGTGCTGACTTGTTTGTTTGCTGGGTTGCGGTTGCAGTGGCGGCCGGAGTGAGCGGCAGTTACATCCCTCGGGTTGCGGAGAGACGGAAGGGAATGTCACTGTTCCCGTTGGATCGGGCTGCGGTGCCTCATTGTAGGGAATTATCAGGGTCTCGGAGCACTCAGAAGGTTCCGGCGGTCTCCGGTAAAATTAGAGTGGCCAACTTTGCCCTCGAATTTCAAAACAGATGCACCTTTTCAGACTTGAGTCATTAAAAACGATCATGATTTGATTTTGTCCGTCGTGCATCCTGTATCTCTGCCCTGTGACGGCACCGGACGTTTTCCAGCAGCCAAAAAAATAAATAAACTTAAAAATCACTCGATAAATACATGATGGTAATTTAATCTGTAATTTGGAATTTAACCTTGTGAAACAATTACAGAGGTTCCGAAGGCTTGCGTTTTTTTTCCCTTAAAACCTCCTTTTCACTTAACTCCGCCCATTAAGAAATTTATAGAAATGCATTAACCTACTAAACTTTATCAAATAAAAATAGATTTTGATAGTTCCAGACTTTTAAACCAGACCACATAGCATGTAAAATGCTATCTAGAGGAGAGGGTGGAGGGAAGATCGGGGATAAGAGGAGCCTGCAGCAGTGTGGAGATTTCCACCGAGCTTCGGATGAGTAGCACATCGTGCCAAAGTGCCCCATCTGTCCGGGAGATTTCTGTGCTTCATCTGTGTCGACACTCTGCTGGGACAGAACCTGGAGGTGCACGTGATCCACTCAGGTGCTGTCGGCACGGGATGAGGAGTGTAGACGCATATTTTATGTTTTTGTTTTAGGGCCAGACGCTGCCCATTGTCACGCCCTGAACAAGCTCCTTAGCATTAGCATAACAAAAGGGGCCAGTGTGGCTTGCCCGCTTCTGATTGGTCGAATGGTTCCTCTCGCTACCCACCAGTGCAAGGGGGTTTGGGGGCGGTCTGCTCCTTAAGGGGGTGCCTCTCAGTGGGGGACTGGGTTACTGTGTGTGAAGAAGGTGGGTTCATTCATTGTGTGGATATTAAGGGTTGTACACATGGAAAATGCATCCACATAATCACAGATCCTCACAGGGGACTGGCATCCCATCCACAATGTTCCCTAGCACAGTGCCCTCTGCTGCCTGGGAGGGTTTAATGACCAGGATTAATGGTTAGAAGATGGTCAAGTAATCTGAAGATCTGAATAGGGCGGGACTCCCGGTCCACTGGCCCCACCTGAAAGCTGATTGGCCAGTAGAGTATCCCCTCCCCTATGACTCATCAGTTTCAAGCTTGTTATTGGCTAATGAAAAAGGTTGGCCAATCGTAGGCATTATGGTCAACTTTAGGGGAAAAAAAATCCTAGAATTTCCCCTAGACCTATAAATCTTTTGGTTTAAGGCATCTTATTTAGAGCAGTGCGTATATTCAGCTCATGGGAGTTTCATTTACACAAACAAGTTCTGAGGGCAGAATGAAAAATGACTGGTTCAGAGAGATAACCAATCAGATTGTAGCGGAGGTGGGCCCAAGCAACTACAGCAGGTGGGACCAACCAATCAGAAGTCTTGGTCCCACCTCCTCTTACACAGAACATTTTTATGCAAGTAAAACTCCCACGAGCGTATATTTACCATTTTGATTGGCACGGGGGTCGTCCTCTGTGATATCAGCCACGAGGCTGTACCCCTTTATCTGCCAAGCACTCTCCCCTGAATAATTTTCTGTGATCCTCCGGGATATGGCTTGGGTAGCTTGAGGTCTGCAGCTGTCAGCACACTGTTCCAGAGCGGACAGGCAAATCGCATTAAAATGTTCACCGATGGGGGGGGGGAAAAATAAGGAAATCAATACTCGATTTCTGTGGGACCATGAAGTAATGTCAAGCTTTTTATGGATATCAAGATTTCAACATGTCGCACTATATGAATACATGAATATGTAATGTCTCCCTCGGTACCCGGCCCCCCCATTCCTCTCTGACCTAAAAGTCATGTTTTCCCCGCTGTGTGGTTTCTTAACACCTGATAGTTCTCGTTTAAAGGCCGGAGGAAGCTTAGCTTGTACTAAGACACAGTCTCCTCCCAGTTCCAAATGAAGTCTTGTTTCCATGCCAACGGGGCCACCTCCCCTCCACCCCCCCCCCCCTTTGCACTTGGAGACATGTTCCTTAGTGTTCATAGCTTATCCTAGTTCTCTCCCATACGCTCTTGGCGGTTTCAACTCAGGATGCTCCTGGATCCCTTGCTGGTGGGCGAATTAGGGTACGGTGCCCGCTCAGGCTACACCGACAGAGGTGGCTGTGGTGGTCACACAGGACCATGCGGGGGGGGGGGGGGGGGTCTTGTGGGTGGCCCCACACTCCCCATAATCTTCACCTTTCATGAGAGAAATTTTTATGAGAAAACTGCACAGCCACCAGGGCGGCGCTATGGAGTAGTGTCGATGTGCCATTTGACCCTAACACGCCGTGTCTCCTCTCCTTCCAGAGCGACAGGCTGCTGATCAAGGGCGGCAGGATCGTGAACGATGACCAGTCCTTTTACGCCGACATTTACATGGAGGACGGCCTCATTAAGTAAGCGTCCCGTCACCCGCGCGGTCATGGTTTTGGGCTTGGCGTCCGCAACTGGCACCCGGCCGGCTGCATAACACCACTTCCAGATGTGAGGCATCGTGATGTTTGAGCTCCGGCCTGTTCTCAAAACATTATTGGGCATTGTTGGCTTTTCCCTTAGCGGATCCCTTTGTCTTCTGTTATGTCCT